ATTTTAAATTAATATTGTATAGATTAACAAAGGAAATTATTTAGTAAAGGAATTTTTTAGTAAATAATTGTTTTTCTTAACTTTCTTCGTGTTTTCTTGTATATATATATATATATAGGAAGAAGAATTTAAGTAGCCTTTCATAGAGGTATTGATTCAAATATTGACTTCCTCTAGAAATTTTGAAATATATAGATGCTAACTCCTATCATAAGATTTTAAATATGTATTATTTTTTACTTCCTCGTTAAACTATTTTTCTACTAACTAAGATAGATATATGTTTTAGTGTTGAAAATAATGCTTACTAATTTCATTTATTTTCTATAACCTTAACAGCTCATAAAATTTATAAATGGAGGTTGATTTCACTCTTGTGACGTCTGCATATTCTTGTAAGTAAATTGAGAAAGAAGCACGATTTACTCTTTTTTTTTTCTCTCGAATGAGTTACCATTTAATAGCCTTTGACATAGATTCATAAGTTTATTATAATTGTTGAAGGGTTATGTCTTTGTATTTTATCATTCCTCGTTCAAACAAAATGTCATTAAAATTTGTACACTAGTTCTCAAGATATTTGTCTTAATTTTCAACATAACACAAGCTATTTTTTTGCTCATCTCTAAATTTTATATTGTATGTTTTTCAAACATCTTCCATAATTTTGAAGGGCATTTTTGGTTTAAACGATCATTTAACTTTTGTTGCATTTAAAGGAACAGCTTATATGATAGAGATAGTTAGTTTCTTCTAGCCTTAAAAATTGAATATTTTACTTTTGAATGGATTATAAAAAATTTCATTATCCCCAATTCTGTATTCGTCAGTTATTATTTACATATTTAAAGATTGATGATACTCTAACAATGCAGATCTAACAAAAAGTGACAAGAATGTAGGAGTAAGGTAGCAATAGACCACCTCTCACCACAGATGTAGTAAAAGAGAATCCCATCTTATACACAGTTGTAATCACAATTTCACTTGAAAAAAACTCTGAAATAATAATTACTACTTCCCTTCTTCTACTAAGGAGCCCAGAAACTGCTTTTTGTAAAGAAAGGAAACAGTAGAAAAAAAAATGTAAGTAATCGTCAGAAATGGATGAAGGAAGAGGAATTTTTTATGTTTAGTATGCTTAAATAATCTCTCTTGAAGGTCAAGTAAATTTGCAGTATTATCTAGAGATCAACTTTAGTAGAATTTTTAAAAGTTTAAAATTTTTAATGATTTGTTCATATAAGTTATATTTAATCATTTAAGTTATCTGCATATTTGTAATAGACACGTAAAGTCAACGATTGCTCAGCACAATAAAATTTTGAGCTACACAAGAGAGGAAATACATTTTCACTGTCACTGAATTTTGCAGCTGTCACGCTTTTCCCAGGAAAGTTTATCTCCACAAAGATACAGTACTTGCAATTTTGTGTTTAAAACAAATTTAAAGCATATTTTGTGACAATTTCAATGCAGTTATTTAAATTATTTAATAGTTAAAACTTCTAAATAATTTTTCAATTTTTTTATTGACTTAAACTTTTATCTGCAGAGCCAAGAGTCTCACTATTTGGCAAAAACTACTAAATAAATAAAGATGGTGCATTATAAACTTAATTTTTGTGTTAATAAGTTAGATTAAGAACAAAAATTTTAATATTATCACTTTTCTGAAGAATGCATTTATAAAAACTTAATAAAACTTATACCTCGATGAAATGTAACAGGTTTATTGCCACATTCCTCTGAAATGAAAAAAACAAAAGTTTAAAAACTAAGTCTACTCTTTCAAATAACAGTTGAAATAAATTAATGATTATGAAACAAAAGATGAAGAACTTGTTTGAAGAATTTGTTAAGTGATATCTTATCCAGTTTGAGAACATCAGTTTTGAAATATATAGAGAGAAGAGGAAGCTGTTTACAAAAAATTTTACATTGAAAATTGCCTAATTTAAAAATCTAACAGAATAAATTATATATTATCTAGCCAAAAGTATCTGGACATCTACTGAAAGAAGTGGATCTGACCACTGACACAATTAGAAGAGCAACTGGGGGATATAAAAAGAGTTGGTAGTGATTTGCCAGGTCATATTATGGGCTTGTGAGACAATGATTAATTCAAAGGAGCTTAGTGACTTTGACAGTGGGATGTCGCCTTTCTGTAAAATCAGCTCTCTAAATTTCAGAAATTTTATAGAAGCCAAAATCCACTGTGAGTGATGTAACTGTGAAGTAGAAATGTCAAGACAGTAAAACTGCAAACTATTAAAATTACAGGTAGGAAAGAATTAGCGAACACAGCTGTAGAACTCTGTAAAGGGTAGTGAAATAAAAACACAGGTCCTCATTAGTTGAAATCACTCAAGAGTTCCAAGTTCATCAGGTGTTAGTGATAGCGGGACTATTCTTCGAGAGTTAATAAGGAATTCTGTGGTTATTCAGTTGCTCACAAGTTGAACATCTCTCCCCAGAATGCAAAGTGTTGATTGCAATAGTGCTAAGTTTACTGTCATGTGTTTTAAAATTTTTTTTTCTTTTTTTGGAGATCTTGCTTTATACTATGGCATTCTGATGGTCATGTTTGGGTTTGGTAGATGCCCAGTGAGCAGTTCTTAAATGATTGCATCTTGCTAACTGCAACTTTTATTGGAACAAATCTTTATTATCTTTGGAACAAATTAGAACAAAGATTATGTAGCCAGAAAAATCTATCATCTTTATTGTAAGCACTCACTTCAATTATGGCCATCCATTAAAAACTGGTGAAAGTCTTTCAGAGATGTGCAGGCTGTTATCGATGCAAAAGAAGAACTAATATTAAATATCACATTAAAATAGCGAAAGGACTCTCCAAGTCCATACCTCTTGAAGTCCAGATACTGTTGGTCAAATAATGAAATTGCTTTATATTTACAGTTAACCATAGCATGATTTTAAAACAGGAAATCAATTTTCCAAATGTTAGTGATTTGTTAAAGAGTTATAGCATAATATAATCATAAATTAGAAAAATATAATTGTATCTTATGAAGACATATAAGTATAGAGAAAATATTTATTCCCATACATTTTGATAAAATATTACATACTTAACAAAGAATAACATACTTCTTTATCAACATTATTTTTCCTGTAAAAGAATAAGAAACTTATAGAATTCAAGTAACAAAGAATTTTAATAGTAATTTATAAATAAATTAACCACTACTATAGTCAGAGTCTGATTGTGAAAGCCAATATAAATGAGACTGTTAAACTAGGGGCGTTGGGATGAGAGGTCACTGCGATCTCCCAAAAATTTTCAACATTTGGCAAATTTTTCCAGGCCATTTCACAAAAATACAAAATAATTTTCTCTACTTCTTTTTTAGAAAGCACAAATAAAATCAACAAATATTACACGTTTATTTGACTTTCTTAAAAGTTCACATAAGTATAATTTTAGATATGCATTTCAAAATTATAAATCTGTTGCTCTAATGCAGATTACATGCAGCACAAATTGATCTTAATTATAAAATACATTCAAATTTCTATATAAACCATACAAAGGTGGATGCTTAACTAGTGGAAATATTTTTGCTAATGATTAAAAGAAAAAATGAAGGATTGAATCATAATAGAAGTTATGTATAATTATTATAGAATGCCATGTGCGTGTGATCTTGGTCATGAAAGAATGGACGAGCTTTTTAAAAACATTGACATCTAGAAAAAAGTAAATATTAACTCAAACAGCAAAATAACAAGGTCATTTTTATAACGTTTAGGGAAGGTACTTAGTCTTCCTACAATATATGGATTTGGACGAATGAATACAAAGCAAATTGACAACACTATAACATTTAATATTTATAGTTATTTACAAGTTAATAAATATTCATAATCACAATTTATTCCATTAATCAAATTGAAGTATAAATTTTATAACCACTTTAAATATAAAAATATAATTAATAATTTTTACTTATTTATGTTTAATCATCTGGTAAAATCATTAGAGTTACTCTTGATGCTTCTTTATTGTAAGTAAATATAATTGCAGGCTTTTATTTATTATTCAGTCAAATTAGGAACTTCCCTCTTTTCAAAAATATTAGTTTGAGGTACTCCTGGTGGTAATCACAACCAACAAATACAGTGTCAAGAGCCTTGACTTATCTTAATCAGGCCCTGATTAATTGGCAATTTACAACTAGCAATAGCATTGTAACTAGTATGCATGTTATATCAACCAATATAATATTGCAAAAATTTTAATTGATTAATTTGATTTCAATATAGCATTGCACTTTACCTGAGAGCACCCAGAACAAAACCATTGATTCCAACAGACAAGGCTGCTCTAATGTCATCTTTCATCTGCTCAACTTCTAATTCACTATAGCTAAAGTCTCCATCTCTGGCTCTAATCATTGTAAAAACTGGTATATTTAAATTCTCTTTTATTTTTCTTAAAAAACCTACAAATAAAATACAAGAATAGTAGTAAATTATCTTATATTAAAAAAAATAGTGATGTGACAATAAAATAAGGACAAGCCAAAATCAGATGTTCAAAAATTAGAACATATTAAAATCATTAAAGTTGTGCTGCATTGAATTTGATCATTACTTCATTTGTGTCAAGCCATATCTTTTTATAATTATGATAAGTGTAAGCTTTGGTATAATTATTTTCAAGGAATTTATCAACAATATTTGCAATAACTATGATTTATCCATTACTTTCACACCATCAAAATAGTAAAGGAAAAATAATTTATCAATCGGAACAAGAACGAAGAACATTTTTGACTGAATTTTGAGTTTAATTTTAAGTTTAATTTAATTTTAAGTTTAATTTAAGTTTAATTTAATTTTAAGTTTAAGTTAAGAACATTTTGAGTTTAATTTTAAATGAATTCCTTTAACTAAAATAGCTCAAATAATGGTGTATTTTCAAATATTTTTAAAGAAACAATGTTTATAGTTCTGTATTTAATTAGATGTGTCCTTTTATTAAATTAAACATGATTTTTTTAAAATAAAATTATATGTAGCATTTTATTTTTGGATGAAAACAAAGTTGTTTGAAAGCATAAAGAATTTGAAGTTTCATTTACAATTTAAAAGTCTTATAAATTTCATAAATAATTTTAGAATATTTATGAATATATATAGAATTTGTTACATGAATATAAAAGAACAATTATTGTATGAACATGATGTAAAACAATTCTAACAGTTTATAAATGAACAGTTTTAATTGTATTAAGAGATTTGATGTAAACATTTTCTAAAAAATCTATTAAAAAATGAATTTATTCAACATTTCCTTGAAATCCATAGAAAAACTTCGTTAAGAATGAGAATTTTCAATGGCACGATTTATTTAGAGTATGATAAAATGCTAAAAAAAGCTGTGGCAAATAATTTATCAAACTGATAAAAAAGTTATTAATAATTTTAGTTTAAACAATTATTTAAAAAAATATAAGTTAATAAAAAATGTTCATTTATCAAAATTTTGAAGATTAATTCTATTCGATTAAATATGAAGATAGATATTGAACAACATTATTGATCTCTTAAATAATCTTCAAAATAATAACTTCAATTCCAAAATTAATATTTTTATTTCATTGTTGGGTAAAAATATATTTAATTAATATCAAATGAAATAGATTTTTTTTGATTAAGCAATTAAAAGTAAATAATTAGGAATTATATGTATGTTATAATGTATTCTGATTTTAAAACTTATCTTTTATAATCGCCAATAAAATTGGGTAAACAATAAAAATAACAAAAAGAGAGAGAGAAAGAGAGAATCTTAAGGTACACTAAAATTTTTTTCCTGTACAATGGAATTTTCAGTAAAAAGGCAAATCTCCAACTAGTTCAACTTAGAACAAATTTTCCAAGCCTGAAGAATAGACTTGCTATCTCTATATATTACTGTTGTAACCTATTACATGAAAAAAGACTTTAAGATGAATGCTACATTTTAAAAAAATATAATAATATATATTGAAGCTAATACCTCTCTATTCCAGCCTTTCTTTTTTTCTTCATTTATATTTTACTTAACCAACTTGATTTGTTCGATTTTCAAACTCTCTGCTCCTTAAAATTAATTGGCTATGGCTTTTCTGAGTCTATACCATTAACGATTTATTTTTAAAAGATTTAACACTTTTTTCTCTCTGGTTTTCTTGCTGGTTACACAAAGCAGCATGTCGTCTTTCTTTTCTCGGAGATGCGGACTACAGTCCGTAGCGAGGAAATTCATTCCTTTCTTTACATCCTTTTCCTTAAATTTTAATGAAATCCTCAAATCATAATTATTTTCTGTAAATTGCATATCTACTTTCTATACCTTTAATTTCTTTTAAAATTAAAGATCCTTTCAAATTTAAGCGTTCTTTCTGTATTTATCTTATTATCACCAGTTAAATTTCTCTTTCTCTTATTTTTATGAATGACGCTTTTTAATTTCTCTAGTCACCCATTTTTAATTTTAGGCTTTCTTTTGTTAAAATTGTGTCAAAAGATAGGTTTTACAAGTAAATTGTGAGTTTGTTCTAAATAAATGTTGGGCTGAATTAAAAGAATGTGTGAATATACCATTTTATTTGTCTTCAATTGGTGATGGTTGTTGTTTTTTATTTCTCCTGTATGTGGTGAGTACTTTTTGTTATTGTTTTGGGTATTTGCTTTATTTATTTTTGGAAACATCTCTAAATTATGTTAAATGTTATATTTGTATTTGGATTTAGCAAGTCATTGTCTTTTTACCTATGTTCTTGGTTAATTCTAGTTTCCACCTTATTCCAAATTTGGTGATAGCAATTTATCCAAACCTCACACTTTGTGACTATTTGAACCTATTGAGTTATTGCCATCCCACGATAGTTTTGTACCACCACTTTTTCTTAATGATCACATTCCCCTTAATTTAATTTATCTTGATTCTATTTCTGGCCTTAATTAATGACTATATCCAAATACAAATTTCATCCTATTCCAAGATATATAATATTTCTATTGTGATGTGAACATATTTACATAATTATTGAAACCATCTAATCTATCACCAATCAAATTTCAATCCATTATCTTAAAATATAAATAATTATCCAATTAGCACCAAAATATATTATCATATTTCTTAAAATGTAACAAAGAAAATATGTGTTTCTTGTATATTTTTTTTGTGGCTGAAAATAAAGAATTAGTAATTATTTTTTGTTTACCATGTAGTGTTTTTCTAGAAATCTACATTTTAGCTTGGTGACCTTACGTATTTTAACAACACAGAATGGCAACTTACAGGCAAAGGAAAGGCCACTCTTTGACAGTGAGACCATTGCCAACATTCTTTTTAAACAAGCCTTACCTACCTTCCTGAATTCCAACACTATAGATGAATTAGGAAGCGGAGTATGCAAAAATTCACTAAATGCATGGAGACTTTTCTCCAACAAAAATGATATGTGATTTTCCATTTGATTTGATATACAAATCAAGCATCTATTGTTTATACGGAATCATAGTTTCATCTAAAGGATGTGAAAAACATTCAAATTTTTTTGTACTGTGTTATTCAGCTCTATAAGTTTTTAAGCACTACAAACAGCTTTTATTTCCAAATGATTATAATCTTTAAAATTTCAAAACTATACAGGAAAAAGATTAAAAAAATACTAATAAAATTATGAAAATGTAGATCTTACCTAAACTTGGAGTTAAACCTCCAACTGCAAGGGCTTGACATAATTCTATTCGATCTGCACCTATCAAATTAAATTAAAAGTATTTTAATATAAAAACTAAACTCAGTGGCACAACAGCCCATAGAGGGCCCATCTCAGTTTTCTTGATGTTGGGCTCTGGGGTGCAGGATCAGATGTTCCGGTTAGGTGGTCAGCTGAATGCGAAACCCCCAATGTTTAGTTCCCAAGCATGCTTGGTACTCATTTATCGACCCACTATAGGGATGAAAGGCTAAGTCAACCTTGCCTGGCCCGAGGATCAAACCCAGGACCTGTGACACGGGAGCGCAAAGCGCTACCACTCAGCCACTGGGCGTCATTTTAATATAAACTATTTGAATTTTTAATGAATTCATAGCCATTTTTAAGGGGGAACAGTAGTCCTCCAGTGTTCATAAGGCCCCTCTTCAAGAGTTGTGAATTTGATTGAGTTTTTTTCTTACACCATTGCTCTGACCAATCTGTTAAAAAAGAGTGTGTGTGAGAGATAATTAGATAAAATATTAAACAAAAAAAACTGCTTAATGATATGTATAAGCATACGTTTTATATATGTCATCAATTATAATATGTTACAGACAGAATTATTCATAAGAGGCTGAAAATAAATTACTTTTTCATAATTACTAAAATACTTTCACAGGCTTACAAAAATACCTTCACAGGCTTACAAAAATACTTTTTTATTTAGCATTTAGTCTGGTAATTCTGGTGAGAAAAAGAATTTTTTTCAACCATGTTATTTATATTCTTTGTTTTTTGGGTTTAGACTTATAATGCAAGGCAAACATTTAGAAATTTTTAACATGTATTTTAATGTCTGTAGAATTTTATGCCTATAACTAATTTTGAAGGAAAAAAAATATTTCTGAAAAGTTGATTTCACATGAACACATGAAAAATTCCCAAGAAAGTTTCTAGGATTCTCTTTTTTTTTATGGAAGAGAATATAAGCAGTAGCTTCACTTTTGAAATTTTCATTTCCAATATTAATTTGCAAAGTTGAGATATTTAAAAAAAACAAACATCAAAGCTGAACAATCATCCAGATGACAAAAACATCAAAAAACATTTTTAAAAAAAACATCAGTGATGAAGAACAAAAGTTTGTGAATTATTGCAGCTAATGCTATTTTACATATCTTTTACTATCAAGGTTGATAAAGTATTTTTAAAATTATTTTAGTTTTATATTTTAAAATTAGTACTTCCTTTAAAAAAAAAACTAATAATATTTTGTAAAATAATACTTACAATAATGTTAAATAGTTTTCAAAACTCTTAAATAATGTTAGTTCTTAGAAGAAGTAAAAACCGTTAAAAATACTTAAACCGTTAAAATACAGAAGGTGAATACTCAATTGTACGGCAGTCATTTTTGGATAATGTTATTTGAAATATTTATTACTTGCATAAAAATTCCAATTTTGTGTTTATTTATTTTGCAAATGGAGAGTTGAAGATGAAGACTGACATCCTAACTTTAAAATCTCACAAATATATAAATTTTAAAAACAAATTTCAAAATAATTGAGGGTAATATTGAAAGCTCAAATTATTTTTTGTATGAAACAGAGCTGTTTATTTTTTTATTTATTTTTAATTAAAAAATTTTGCAAGGATTTTAAAAAAACCAAAAATAATGAAGCAATAATTTTTCTTTGCAAAATGACGTAAAAATTATTATTTACAATATTTCTGATAAGAGATTTCAGAGATTGAGAAATGTACAAAATGAAAAACACACTTTTTTTGTTCAATATTTGATTTTCTTCAACAAGTTAAGAAGAAAGATGCTGGCAAAATAGTACAATGTTCTAAAAAGAATACTCTAATATTGCATAACTTTTGAAGCTTCTAAGAAAGTTTAAAATCTCTGAATCAAAGAAACTGTTAAAGCAGGGTTGGCAGGTTTATGACAGTTTTTGACGGTTTAAACCATGGTTTAAACCGTCACGTCAAAAACCTCATTGTCAAAAATGTCAAAAACCTATATTCATATGTGAAATTTAATTAATACATAAAATTTATGTATTTATTATAAAGGATAGTGTTTCTAAATATGTTCTAGAAAAAATAAATTTAAAATTTTGAAGAAACAATTCAATAGTTTGTAGTAACCAAAATCTTGTACTTT